CCAACGTCAAGTCCATCGTCTTTAAGATAACGGTATATACTGTTGTTCTTTTTCGCGTGCAGCAAGTCGATCGTTGTTTTTGTGCTTTCTTCCATAACTTTCTTGTCCTAATCTTTTTTCTCTTTGCCTTTTTTTTTGTCGATACATTTTCGACTCCTCTGTTCAGTTTATTCACATAAAGTTGTGCTTTTGTTCTCTTCGCAATCTCAGGCAAGAGTCGGAATTTGAATCGGAACACGTGCAGATCGCACCATTCGTTGGTCATGCGTATCGAACGAGCCACTCCGTCCGCCTTCATGGGTAAGTGGTCGCGACGTCAGGTTCCATGCGAACATGACTGTATCCTTCCACGATGTTCGTTGTGGCATTTCCTGGTAAGTTCTTTTTCTATTCTCCATTGAAATCAACGAGAATTCCCAACCTCAACAGCAGTCGCAACACCGATCGGTCGCAAGCATCATGGACGGAACAGCGTCGGAGTACAACAGCGGGTCGTGCAGCAAGTCGATAATTGTTGTTGTGCCTTCTTCCATAACTTTCTTATCCAGATCTTTTTCTTTGGTCTGGTCTTCTTTCCCTTTTTGCGACTCCCCTGTCAGTTTATTTACATAAAGTTGCGCCGATTACGTGAAACAAAAACACTGAATAATTTGTTTGTTTTTTAACATCTTTTTATTTGGAAAATTTATCTTAGCCGAAAGAATATTTCGGCATTTAATTCCAAGTACTCCTCCCTTCCTTTCCAACCACGATAGACTTTTCGGCGCCACGAACTCGGCCGTTTGCAATCTCTTAAAATTAAAAAAATAATATATATTTACATCTAAATAATATCTTTAAAGTTAACTAATCGTAAGTTACTTGGTTTATTTGTAGTAATAGGCTAACCACAAATATATATTATTACATAGGAAACTATTAAGCATTGAGACTTAATATCATCGTGTATTTTTATAACTAAGTTAACAATCATTTACAAAAAATCATGATGGAAATATGCATTAAAACATTTAAAAAAAAGAAACATTGTGTCCTATTACATTCTTTGCTCGTAATTGTAACAAATGACGTAGTGATGAAGATGATGGACTGATGATGATGGTGATGATGTTGAATGCAGATTTTAAATTCAGCAGCGATGAGTTAAGATGCTGCATGGATGAACGTGTCAACTCATCGAGATTCAAGACACATCAACTAAGCAAACGCTAGATTTTATTAGTCTCCCAAACATGTATTCTAACCATCAATCAAAGACGCACTCAAAATTTACAACAACTGTTCCGTTTTAACGTTATATCGGTCCGTGAAACGACACGGTACGTCATAGTTGTCCCCCGTCTCAAATGAGCGAACTTAATCATCTTCATCGTCACCTTCATCACCACCTTCATTATCATCATCATCATTATACTCCGACTTTAAATATTGAAGTCCGACACACAATTATCGTTATTTTCTATTATTTATTAAAAACTATCATTTGTCATATTCATATCAATTCGAATAACAGTTTATCTTGTAAGAGATTTTGCTCCAAAACTCTCAATGTTTGGAAACTTGAGTGCAGCAACGTAGTGCTCAGAAGTTCGACGATGAACCAGTAGTACACGTGTTTCCTATCCCGTTCTTACAATAAGTTTTCGGACGGTATTCGTACGTACTTGGGCAAACTGTATGGAAGAAGAAGAATAAAACGGAAAATTATTTAATATTATTTAATTAGAAAATTCTTGTAACGAAAATCGTTATAAATTCCTTTGTGGTATCGTACTTACATTTGAAGATCTAAACCCTTTTCATCGCAATCATCTTCGTGACGATCCAAGTACTTCGGTTGCATTTCCGTCTTGCAAAATCGGCATCTTATTAAGGCAGGACCGTTGTAGTTTCTTCTGCATTTAATCAAATGTTGAATATACTTCGTCCTTTTTACGGTGTGGCTAACGTCGTAAGGACAAGTTAAGTGAGTAGGATCCATCGTTGCTTCGTTGACGATCTCTTTTATATGCTTCGATCGAGAGACCATAACGTCATCGGTCATAAAATCTCAGAAATCCTTAACGTCATCTAATTTATAATATTCACGTGTGCGATCGGGTCTCTCATGACTCGTTGGCCTCCCAACTTCCTTCCAAACCGATGACGTGATAGTCGGTTTCGCAGACAGATGACGTAACGACTCGAAAGGATATATATATATTCTCGCACAATTTCATCATTATGTTTTCGGATGTCTGGAGTATCCGATCGAGACAACAGAGATGGTGTCAATTCTAGCAATAACGGTGGATGGTGTACCGATGCATGTAGACATACGAGATGAATTTGGTCTGGAACTGTCTCTGGACAAGGAATCGATCGAGAAATTTTAGATATACGCCGACTTCGTCCTTCGTCGTGTCGACAAACTGACAGCAACCTTATCTAAATGCAGACGTAAGTTGGAAGATAACAAAATGCTGAATACACGAGGACGTAAGTCGCATAAGGCGTGTCTTGCAGATCGTGTCGATCGGGTGACCGGTGAAGTAAAGGATATGTGTTTGCAAGCTGCTCGCGTCGACATACGTTTGCGAAAATGTAAACATTACCAGACGAAGGAAGGAGCGGAAGGGGAAAGTGTGATGAACTCGATCAGGGCGTTGATGGAATACCGAAAAGGTATGTCGAACGTGAACGAGTGGCGTGAACAATATAGGAAAGTGAGCGAAGCTATGGACGAGATTCTCTGCATACCTAGGGAGGAATTGTCCGAGGAGAACACCTGTTGCATATGCTTCGAGGCTCCGGTATCGATACTGACGAAACCGTGCAATCACATGATGTCGTGCGAGACGTGTGCGCACCTCACCACGAAGTGCTACGTGTGCAGGGCAAGGATCGAGCACCGACTGAGGAGATGCGAAGTTGAGGAGGGGACGAAAGTTTTTAAATGTTGAACCACTTGTGTGTTATTTTTCTGATTTGAGAATTAAAATAAAAAACTAAGAAAATTGAAATCATGCCTAAATGTGTTTATATTTTTTGGACTTTCATTCAAAAGAATTCTAGAATCTCCAGGACACATAATGCTGTAACTGCCGAATGAATACCGAAAGCACCCATTTTGTAGAGTTTAGCTCGGTATCGATAACGTCATCGTTACAGATCTAAGGCAAACGTAATGGATCTGTTGACTTCCTAGGATAGGCCAAAGACGTCATCGGTCTGAGAAACGATGATCAGCTATGTACCTTGACGTCATCGGGTGCACCCGACGCTGTATAAAACAGTCTTGCAAACACAAAACTCTCCACTTTGCGACGAAGTTAAATCAAGTATTTCGATAAAAATGGAGAAATTCGAACCTAAGAAACTGTTGGAGATAAGAACAGGCATGTCAGGTTTGCTGAAGACGTGCGGAGGCGGAGAGGCACTCCTTGCAGAGGCTGTGACGTTCATCGCAAACATCGATTCCAGAGACGTTCCGACGATCATGTTCTTCGACGGGCCGGATGGTCCTTTCGCCAAATGGTGCACGCCGTTCGTGGCCGACCAGTTTCTCAAAACCTGCCGTTCCAGCGGATGGCAAAGAGTCACCTACACGGACGTTGTAATGAAGGCCGAGAACGACAAGTTGATGATGCCGATGGCTTTCCTGTGCGTCCATCCCGAGGAAGGTCCGATTTAGCTGGTGGACGAAATGGGAGCGGTGTTTTTCGCCACTGCGATGCCGTTCGTCCTGATTAATAGCGATAGACTTCCGAGCGAAAGAAGGAAAAGAAAGATGGTTTGCGGAGACTCCACGCTGTCCATGTTCGATCGCCCTCAACTCGC